TACCTGACACGTGGCAAAAAGCCATAACCAACAACTCACTGGGTTCTGGAACCAGTTCACAGAACCATTCAGGGATCCCCCTGCACAATTTGCTTCTGCAATAATTTTTTTTCTAAGGGCAAAAATATACAAGACGTTTTTTGAGGGTTTTTTTTTTTAGTAAAAATATCTCCTGACAGTTGTGTCTATAAATGAGGTCTGCAGCTGATCCAACTGTGCCACGGAGGGGGGAAAAGAGCAGGAGAGAGGTGACGTCAAATATTCTGTGGTTTCAAGTTGTAATGAAGCTAATGTAGCGTCACCCTGCTGTGGAAACATGTAGAAAGAAGAGTGAGGTGGAGGTGGAGGTGGAGGCACTCCTACAGATGACTCCTGAAGTCATCATCTTCCACATACTGTAGGAAAAGATGAGGAGAAGCCGGTGCTGGGGGAAAGTGGACATCAGGCCTTGTGTTTCATGTACGTCCATGACTAACGAGGAGGGGGGGAGTCTTTAACAACATGTGTGAGCTGGACGCCCGCTGGGCATCATGACAGTACATGACTACTGTGGCAAACGGAAAGAAAGCGCTGACGACCAGATGTGGAGCTGAGAGGCAGACGCTCTGTGAGACCTGACGCCTGCTGAAGCTAAAGCCTTTAACCACAGCTCACAGGAGACACGTTTTCATCTCCATCAGCAGGAGCCCCCAGATAAACACCAACTATTCACACCACTATAGCTGTTTGTGACGTACGAGGGTGTAATATTCAGATTATATCATTTCCAAACCTGTCTGATGATAGTGACTAAAACCAGTTCAGACTGGTCTCTGTCTCCAACAGCTTTGACCAGTTTTATCATTAGATCTTTGTGAAGTGTTGAGCTGTGTTAAGTATTAGGAGATAACCAAGGGTTAGCTTAAAATGGTTCAAAGTTGAACTAAACAAAAACAGGCTAAAAAATACCAATAATTCCAATAGATCAAAGCCTAGAAGGACCTCGAAAACCTGAAACACTCAGACAAGAAACATAACCAGTGGCGTTTCTATGTTTTAACAAACGTAGACCTAACACCATTAGTATCAATACGCTAACGGCAACGGTCCAACAACAAGCTGTGTTGTCTTTTACTGGACGACCAGAGGGGGAAAAAAATGTCTTCATCTCTTCACTGCCATTTCCTCAAAAGGCACAACAGGAGACGTCCTCTAATGACAGCCAGCGCTCCTGCCTGCTGCAGCGACACATCCTGAGCCGTGCATAATGATTCCATTCCAAACAAGACGCCATGTAGAAGTACTGCTGTTGTCACTGCTGCGGCCTCTGGCTCACTCTGTTCTGGAAGTGCTGCCCCTGCCGCTCTCAGTCGTGGAGCCTCGTATAGAGCATCAGTCAGTGCTTATGTTTCAGCCTGAGGCTGGACTCTCGTCTCTGCCCCGCCAAGCTGCACACACACACATACACACACACGCACGCACACACAAAGGAGAGGAGGAATGCAAATGTGGGGCTTAACCAGTTGAGGGGACATATGTGGCCGAGGGCAACTAGTTGAATGTTAAGAGTCTGGGGGCTGAAGAGACTATGACCGACCAGCAGCAGGCAGCTGATTGGCTGTTTCACTGACTGTTGTACAGGTGGTGTATAAAGTACTTTGAGTCCATAGTGAGGATAGATGTTCTCCTGGATCCTCTGGGGGGCAGCCTAGCTGATGTCAGTAGTTATTTCTAAAGACTGGAGCAAGGAGATTTCATTGGAGTTCTTGTTCCTTCCTGAAGCCTGGGTTCAAATCCAGTGTGCCTGTGCTGGGTGTGTACATTCACTAAAGACTCCCAGATTCTCATTCTCAACAACTGCACCTACAGATTGATAAAAAAAAATGTCCCTGAGACCAAGGGTTGGGCCAATGAGGAGCACACCCATGAAAGATGATAGGGTATCGAACACCAAGCCTGATACTGCTTATCCTTACCAAGGTTGAATCAGGAGAGTAAAGTAGAAGGTGTAACAGGAAACACACATCCTGAATAGGATTGAACCAATAACATGCCAGAAGTGACAAGATTTTCTTCTAACAACTCTATTTGAAACATTTTGTTCCATTTTGTTGTGTTTGTTTTTTTTTTCATCTTTTGGTGTTGGGGTCGATTCCAGCAGCGATCCGATGGAATCACAGAACCAAAGTTTTCCAAATGATATCATCATAGTACTACAGTTTTTCAACGTTTCCCTTTTTCCCTTTTCCCTCTGAAATTTTTGTCAAATCTAATATTTAAATGTTATCATGTGCCATATCCTATTTTTTTTTTCTAATGAAATATTTCAGTATATAAAATATTTTAAAACATTTTGCCATTTTTATCCGTGTGTATTATTCAAATGTCTCTCATTGGCTACATTTCAATAGCCAGTGTTTTACAAATATTTCCCGTCTCATTAAGGTAAATAATCTGCTCCTCTAACACTAACAATTATCATCCTTCCTTGTCCGACTAAATTACTGTCTTCTTCTTCTTCCCTCCTTGTGCCTCTCTTCACCCTCTCAATTGCCCCATGGGGATAAATATGTTTTTGTGAATCTAAATCTTCAGGGGTCACTGCCAAGGGATAAATCAGGATAATAATAGTAATCAGGTCAGAAAGGTTTGTGGTGCTAAAGAAAAAGGCTTGGTACAACACAAGGTACTATTATATTGAAGTACTCCCATTCCACTCCCCAACAGCTACTACTGTCATGAGGGACCATTACTGCGATATTACACTGATACTTCATACAAAGATTCTCCAGGTGACAAAGACGGGACAAATGTCTCAAATAAAACCTGCCCTTGGAATGACTTTGCTCTGTGTTGATGCCAGCAGGTGGGGCCAGCGGGTCCTGGCAGATGAAGTGACCCGACTGAGTGACTTCAGAATCTGCAGAGAAGAGAAATGATAGGAAGGGTGGGGCGGGGGGAGCAGGACCACCGCGTATCAAACTACATCGCGGCTGGTTATCTGCTGGTAGCACGGCGGCTGCAGAGGAGCGTGGACCGTACGTGAGTGGCTGGCAGCGGGTGGAGGGAAAATGCTGCACACTTGCCAAGAACAACTGACTCCAAAATCTGCGGGGCGGTCCGAGCTCTTGGAGAACCAAGACCGGCCAGCAACTCAAATTTGGAGAATTTTAATTCCCAACCTCAGGTTGTGAAAATTAATCACATGCTGTACAGAAGCACTGTAGAAATACAAAAACTGACTCAGTGTTCAAACCTTGCAGGCAAAGAGGGCCAGCTCAGTGGAGACTGCAAATAAACATTTGGACATTTGGTAGGAATTTATTCCAGCTTCCAACACTGCAAACCATGAGTTCCTGAGTCTGTGAATGGACAGTCCCACTGGTTGAATGTAATTTAATTGATTCATTTTGTGTGTGTGTGTGTCCTGACCATTGACTCTGTATAAGAAATGGACATAGATTTTCCTAGTGCAGGTTCTGTTTGTAGAGTGGATAGCACTCTAGTTCTCCACGCTGGTTTTCAGAAGTAGTTCAGGGTTTGACTAAACACAAGTCTCAAACTTAAACCATCTGTGGTCTGCGGAACTAAAAACTCTTTGAATATTCCTATGGGGTTTTTTTTTCAACTCTAATGTCTGCTGCAACATACCTGACATTTTGTTTAGTGTTGCAGATAATTTGCCCGCAATCCTGCAAATTAGTCAGTACATCTTCAAATCCCGAGCAACGGCGCCATCAACTGGCTGAAACTGTTAAGTAGAGCCTATGTAAACAATGACAAGTTCCGATCCTGAAATGTTGTCATTTTTTACAGTGTGTTGTATAAATGTCCCTGCGGCCGTCGTCTCCTGCATTTAGCCATGGAACTGTTGGCTGTAGCTGACGGCTGCTGGAGAAGACAGATCAAATTTAGACAGAGATCCAGTAAAATAGTAAACGTGTGTGGACTAACAAACCCCATCATCCAGTAGGAGACTGGAAACGTAACAAAAACAGTAAACTCTTCAAACCAACAATATGATGTTCAGCAATGACAGGTCATCACAGGCTGTGTTTACGTTACATCTAATGAACACCATTGGATAATTGAAATATTTGATCACTACGACTACGAAATGCGTAAGAAGTAGCCTTTGGGTTTTTGCTGGGAGTGGACTGTGAACTATAGATGATTTGGTCCAGTTCTTACGTAACATCTACAGATCTGACCTTTCTCTGCACTTTCAGTTTCCCTGACCAATTTACCTGGGGCAACTGTAGGAGTGAAATGTTGGTGGTTCAATTTCAGAGTTGAGCAGTCTGTGTGTTGTTATGTCTCCGGACCAGACACTTAACCCCTGAGTTGCCCACTACACCCAGCCGTACAGGAAGGTTACAGTCTCTGTCCTTCTGTACCAGTGTCTGGATGAATTCAAACCCACGTATACAGGTTCAATCAGAGACGTGAAAAACACAAGTGACAAAAACAACTGTGTAACGCATGACATTCTGATCAACTGTACGTCCAGGCAGTCGAAAAAAAGCAAAAACAACCTTGCAGAAATAATATACACATCAACTTGTGATTCTGTATGACTCAGAGCATCCACACTACAGACCATGAGAGGTGAGCTGTTCAAATATCTCCACAGAAACATCCAGAGGAGGAGGAAGACTGTACCCTGCTGTGACCTGCTCTCACTTCACATTCACACTGGTGAGTGTATAAAACAAACTATGTGAGTGTGTGTGTGTGTGTGTGCGCGCAGTAGCCTTCATCTCAGTGTCAGCTCATCCAGAATCAGCCTCGGAGCCTCCAGCTGAGGATGCCCGTCTCCCAGCAGAATCATCACGGGGGAAAACAAACGCTCTCCCAGCATCTAACCTACGACCACCCGTTCATTCAGATGCAAGGCCGTGCTCTGACTGACAGACCTGGGGGTGTGTTGACCTGTTTGTCAGCCACCATCACCACCCTCTCTCTTCTGTAAAAATATGAAATGATGAAGACAGCGGCATCTGCCTGCCTGCGTCTCTTACCGGCTGCTGTATGTGTCGAGCTGCCCCCCTGCCAGCCGGAGGAAGATGCTGCCTCTTGGCTCCGCGCTGGAAATAGTCGATGCCAGCGGCGGCGGCAGCGGCGGCAGCAGCGGCAGAGGAGGAAGAGGAGGAGACGGAGGAAGATGAGGCAGAAGCAGCTTTGCTGCCCGACAGCCGGTCCCTCTTCTCCCGCACGCTGGAGCCTCCGTCCTCGCCGGAGTCGAGGCTGCTGAAGTTCCACACAATGAGCGTCTGCACCAGCAGCACCGTCAGCGCCGCGATCAGGGCGGAGCGGGAGCGGCGGGGGGGCCTCCGCGCGCACCAGCCCCCCACCCCCCTCTCCACACCGGGGGAGCGGGGGGG